TAATATTTTTAAGTTCACAGATGCATCTCCCTGGATCCTGTGTATTTTTCTTTGTTTTGCTAAGCATGTTCAAAAGTTTTTAGATGGCCAAGAGTTAGAGTAGTGAATCAAGTTGATTGCATGTCTTAACATGTGACATCTGACATGTCGCAGAATTTGAGGGGCATAGGCCACTCGTTTTCCGCGACTGGTTGGCCATTCTGACATCTGACGTGTCGCAGAAACCATCGATTTCCACAACTGATTCGCCATTCTTAAACTCAAGATGTGACATCTGAGATGTTGCAGAATTTGGGGGGCCTAGGCCACTCGTTTTCCGCGACTGTTTGGAATCATGACCTGCAAGTGTTTGAATTTTACCTATCCCTACCCCTTTCTTTTTCGTAAAAGACCCTATAATCCTAACCCGTCCAAGACCTCCTGCATACAACCATTGTCATCCAAGTCTGTTGCATACTCGTCAAGTGCCCTCTTCACCCACCTTACCCCTAGCACCTTACCCCTATCCATAGCACCCTATCCCTAGCACCTTACCCCTAGCACCTTACCCCTAGCTCATTTACAACGGGTGCTTTGAAGAGCGATATGTACTTGCAGTGGCAATAATAACTTTATGTTCAAATTTTCTATGATTATTCCCTTTTGGGTAGCAATGAGCCCCACATGTTACCGACCATTATCCCATAGTTGTCTGTGACATTTTTTCGATCATGACCACAATAACTACAATGGAAATTGAATCTACCATCCCACTCAACCAAAGCTCCACCCCTCAAATCAATCACCAAACCACTTTGTCCTTCAATTGAAACATTTGGGAACACCAAGAAATGTTTACCACTTGTACGCCCGTCAGACACCAGCTCTTGAAGAAACACGGCTAGCGATTTGCTCAAGTCCAAATCATAATGTGCAGAATTGCATAAATTTCGACTAACAGCCACTGTGGGAAGATCTGCTGTTTTTGCCAGCTTTCGTTGGCTCTGCCGAATGCCGTCCAAGACCTCCTGCATACAACCATTGTCATCCAAGTCTGTTGCATACTCGTCAAGTGCCCTCTTCCATTCGCAAGCAGCTTTTTTAATTCTACCATCATTGGTTGACTGATACTCCACTCCTGCACTGGTCTTTAAACCCACTGCCCACATATCACCAAACTCTCCATGACGATTGGTCCTAACAGCAGCTGTAGAAAAAGCAGCTGTAGAACGTCCAAAAATGAGACTTTTCTCTCGCAGTTTGCAATCCCTTGGTAGAGCCCATACCCGGATACTTGTGTTAGCATAAGCCTTATCCTTTGAGTTGTACACTTTTAAACCAAGATCAAGCATCTGTCCTTCCCTTGGTCGAAAAAGATATGGTCTCCCCCACCAACCATTTGTAGTATACAAGCTACCCTCCACAAATAGACACTTATTCCTGTACCATTGTCTCATAGTACGGTAGATCTTCAAAGCACTTTTTTCGTCCTCTATCACCTGTGATCCAAAGTGCCGGACATAGATGTTGTGGAAATAATCTGGTGGTAACAGTGGTGCTTTCTGGTGCAAAATGTCCAGTTCCAATCCACCCACTTTGTATATCTTCCTCTTTTGCATGCAGCTCATTCGCTTTGAACGTCCACCGGATCCGCCCGTCCGCCGCATGCATATGGTGCTTATGTCTCCAATGGTGCTTATGTCTCCAACGCTTTCAGAGGACCTCTCTCTCTTCTTCTGCCTAGCTGGATTTTGTATTTGTTCTGCCAGTCGTTTTTTCTTCAAATTTCCTTTTGAAGTCTTTGAAACCCAACCGCTCAACAAGAGTATACCTTTCTTCCAATCAACATGCCTCTGTCCATACAACTGGCCAATTTTTGAAGGATCGCACTTGTGGAAAATGAATCGTTTCATCCTTTTGTGGGGACAGGAAAAATTTGGATGCACCGGACCATACATGAAACACATCTGGCATGCGGTAGCCTTAACAGCATCCCTTGGTTTTATGCTTTTCAGTGGACAGATCTTCACCGAATGGCCCCTCCTCCCACAGACGAAACAGTGCCCAGTCATACACTTCTCACCATTACAATCTGATTTCACACAAACCAAACAAGCAGCTTCCATCTTGTTACATAGTATAGAAAATTCCATTTCAATTTCCCTCTCTTCCTCATCATTCATTCCCAACACACTAGTGCCTGCTGCATTCAAAGATGGTTTTCCCAAATGAATACTCTTGGCAGCCAATTTTTGCCTGCAGTTGTCGCAGCATCCACAATCACCAACGGCCACGCCATTTATCTCCCTGTTGAGAAACCCAATACGACACTGTGAAGTACCAAAGAAAGCCTTGAGCGACCCTCCATCCACAAACGCCGCCACATCTGGATGATCGATTCCCAGTTCTTTCAAGTGTTTCTTCAACCCATCAGTCCTGGGTATCACTGTTTCATTGGAAACAACACACCTGAACAAGCAATCATCTCTTTGGCCTGGCCTTAACCTCCCTGCTGCTTGCACTAGCGAAACTAAATTGTATACGTGTTTGTACACAACCACCGTTTTACATTTTGAGTTTTCATTTCCAACCAGTGCACAAGTAGTTGAAATCAGAACGGAAATCATCCCGCTATGCCACTTTCGGCTAACCAACCTTCGGTCATCCTCAGCCATGGTCGAGTTCACAACAGCATGTGATATGGTCAGAGCTCCAGCATTATAAAACAGTGCATGTTGCATTTGGTTGCACTCGTCAATTGTGGGACAAAAGATATGCACATGTCCTTTCTCCAATCTACCACCAAGAAACTTCAGCCACCTACTCCGATCCATGAGCGTAACTACTTCCATTGGCATGTTGTCAAGTCCAAGCGTAGCGAGTCTTGTTGCTAGCCCCCCATCAAGCCGAAGCCACTTTCCAATTGCCTCTTGTATTCCGTTTGGCAGTGATCCGATCATAGTTATGATCTGGACACCCTTTTTTGTTAGACTTGGAACATGCTTCCTCAGACAGTCGTACTTGAAACAAAAATCCATCTCAAGAAATGGAGTATGTACCTCATCAATGTATAAGCGAGCAATCTTCTTCTCTTCCACCCACTGGCCAAAGAACGATCCATTCTTCTCCATCATGTTTGCAAATGAATCAATTGTAAAAATTAGAATTGGTGGCAACGACTCTGGAATCACTCCCCTGCATACATCGGAGGAACGTATTGCCCTTGCCTCCACACCCAGTTTCACAGCAACTTCCAATAAATGATCCAAGAGAAAGGCATACGGTACCACAACGACACTGACACCATCATGAACGCCTGTCAACTCAGCAGCCTTGGCCAGTAAAAAAAAAATGGCACTCTTCCCACAGCCGCATGGGATTGTTGCATGCACATTTTTGGTAGGATTATCGACAACTAGTCGCAGAAACTCTTCTTGCCCATCCAAGAACTTAGAATTTTCCCCGTAAATTGTCCGTAGGATGTACTGGAAAACGTGATGACCGACGCCATGGAAACACGTGATGAACAAAATCAAATATATTGTAGAAACTACGTAGAATGTACCAGAAAACGTAATGTCGAATGGTGCGGAAACACGTAAAAACGGACGAAAACACGAAGACAAACAAGTAGACAAACAAGACATGACATGAGTTTTTGGACCATCTTCAGAGGTGGATATCTTGGCAACAATAAGCCCAAATTGGACGGTAATTTCGCCATCAGAAAGCGCACAGGCTCTTTTATTTTATCGTAGTTTTTCAATTTCGTAACTTAATCTAGTAAGAAGTTTGAATATAATAAATGAAAATGAACCAAATATCCAATAGTTCAAAATGCTATCGGCCATATCTTTGTAAATATTCAACCTTTTCAGTAATTCTAATTTTATAATAGATGTTAATATATGAATGAAGGGGGGGAGATGGGTGTTATAGTATTAGGTTTAGGTTCAGGTTCATATACCTTGATGGGATTCTCTTCTCCAAAGTGGTCCACCCAATACATGTAGATAAGCCGGGGCTCCTTCTGTCTCATCTGTTTTGTCACTGGGATGTAGGTCCGCTCATGCCTGGCAAAGAATACACCCCATTCCTTATCATTCAACTTCAACTTCTTGGGTTTAAGTTTTACTTACAACGGTTGTTTGGAAAAAGTCGAGACAAGCGTCAAAGATGTGGACAAGCGTCGGAAAAGCGTCGGAAAAGCGGACAAGCGTCGGAAAAGCGTCGGAAAAAGCGGACAAGCGTCAGGACAAGCGTCAAAAAAAGCGGACAAGCGTCAAAAAAGCGGACAAGCGTCAAAAAATTCGGCACGGAACATGTAAAAAACGTGTAGAAAATCCAGTATGTACACACGTAACGTAAAGACCGACAAAATGCGTTATATATTATCTATACACGTATAAAAAACAAAGTACAGACGTACCGATTACTTAGGAGATTGCAAAATGGTACAATTTGTCTCAGTAATACAAGCTGCGGCTATGTCTTGGATATGGTCGTCATCCAACTCCATTGCAATGATGAATGTTGTGTTTTACGGGATGGCAGCTTTGGCGGAAACTCGTCAATTTTTGGTCCACTTAGTCGTATCTAACGTAGAAATTACGTAGGATGTACTGGAAAACGTGATGACCGACGCCATGGAAACACGTGATGAACAAAATCAAATATATTGTAGAAACTACGTAGAATGTACCAGAAAACGTAATGTCGAATGGTGCGGAAACACGTAAAAACGGACGAAAACACGAAGACAAACAAGTAGACAAACAAGACATGACATGAGTTTTTGGACCATCTTCAGAGGTGGATATCTTGGCAACAATAAGCCCAAATTGGACGGTAATTTCGCCATCAGAAAGCGCACAGGCTCTTTTATTTTATCGTAGTTTTTCAATTTCGTAACTTAATCTAGTAAGAAGTTTGAATATAATAAATGAAAATGAACCAAATATCCAATAGTTCAAAATGCTATCGGCCATATCTTTGTAAATATTCAACCTTTTCAGTAATTCTAATTTTATAATAGATGTTAATATATGAATGAAGGGGGGGAGATGGGTGTTATAGTATTAGGTTTAGGTTCAGGTTCATATACCTTGATGGGATTCTCTTCTCCAAAGTGGTCCACCCAATACATGTAGATAAGCCGGGGCTCCTTCTGTCTCATCTGTTTTGTCACTGGGATGTAGGTCCGCTCATGCCTGGCAAAGAATACACCCCATTCCTTATCATTCAACTTCAACTTCTTGGGTTTAAGTTTTACTTACAACGGTTGTTTGGAAAAAGTCGAGACAAGCGTCAAAGATGTGGACAAGCGTCGGAAAAGCGTCGGAAAAGCGGACAAGCGTCGGAAAAGCGTCGGAAAAAGCGGACAAGCGTCAGGACAAGCGTCAAAAAAAGCGGACAAGCGTCAAAAAAGCGGACAAGCGTCAAAAAATTCGGCACGGAACATGTAAAAAACGTGTAGAAAATCCAGTATGTACACACGTAACGTAAAGACCGACAAAATGCGTTATATATTATCTATACACGTATAAAAAACAAAGTACAGACGTACCGATTACTTAGGAGATTGCAAAATGGTACAATTTGTCTCAGTAATACAAGCTGCGGCTATGTCTTGGATATGGTCGTCATCCAACTCCATTGCAATGATGAATGTTGTGTTTTACGGGATGGCAGCTTTGGCGGAAACTCGTCAATTTTTGGTCCACTTAGTCGTATCTAACGTAGAAATTACGTAGGATGTACTGGAAAACGTGATGACCGACGCCATGGAAACACGTGATGAACAAAATCAAATATATTGTAGAAACTACGTAGAATGTACCAGAAAACGTAATGTCGAATGGTGCGGAAACACGTAAAAACGGACGAAAACACGAAGACAAACAAGTAGACAAACAAGACATGACATGAGTTTTTGGACCATCTTCAGAGGTGGATATCTTGGCAACAATAAGCCCAAATTGGACGGTAATTTCGCCATCAGAAAGCGCACAGGCTCTTTTATTTTATCGTAGTTTTTCAATTTCGTAACTTAATCTAGTAAGAAGTTTGAATATAATAAATGAAAATGAACCAAATATCCAATAGTTCAAAATGCTATCGGCCATATCTTTGTAAATATTCAACCTTTTCAGTAATTCTAATTTTATAATAGATGTTAATATATGAATGAAGGGGGGGAGATGGGTGTTATAGTATTAGGTTTAGGTTCAGGTTCATATACCTTGATGGGATTCTCTTCTCCAAAGTGGTCCACCCAATACATGTAGATAAGCCGGGGCTCCTTCTGTCTCATCTGTTTTGTCACTGGGATGTAGGTCCGCTCATGCCTGGCAAAGAATACACCCCATTCCTTATCATTCAACTTCAACTTCTTGGGTTTAAGTTTTACTTACAACGGTTGTTTGGAAAAAGTCGAGACAAGCGTCAAAGATGTGGACAAGCGTCGGAAAAGCGTCGGAAAAGCGGACAAGCGTCGGAAAAGCGTCGGAAAAAGCGGACAAGCGTCAGGACAAGCGTCAAAAAAAGCGGACAAGCGTCAAAAAAGCGGACAAGCGTCAAAAAATTCGGCACGGAACATGTAAAAAACGTGTAGAAAATCCAGTATGTACACACGTAACGTAAAGACCGACAAAATGCGTTATATATTATCTATACACGTATAAAAAACAAAGTACAGACGTACCGATTACTTAGGAGATTGCAAAATGGTACAATTTGTCTCAGTAATACAAGCTGCGGCTATGTCTTGGATATGGTCGTCATCCAACTCCATTGCAATGATGAATGTTGTGTTTTACGGGATGGCAGCTTTGGCGGAAACTCGTCAATTTTTGGTCCACTTAGTCGTATCTAACGTAGAAATTACGTAGGATGTACTGGAAAACGTGATGACCGACGCCATGGAAACACGTGATGAACAAAATCAAATATATTGTAGAAACTACGTAGAATGTACCAGAAAACGTAATGTCGAATGGTGCGGAAACACGTAAAAACGGACGAAAACACGAAGACAAACAAGTAGACAAACAAGACATGACATGAGTTTTTGGACCATCTTCAGAGGTGGATATCTTGGCAACAATAAGCCCAAATTGGACGGTAATTTCGCCATCAGAAAGCGCACAGGCTCTTTTATTTTATCGTAGTTTTTCAATTTCGTAACTTAATCTAGTAAGAAGTTTGAATATAATAAATGAAAATGAACCAAATATCCAATAGTTCAAAATGCTATCGGCCATATCTTTGTAAATATTCAACCTTTTCAGTAATTCTAATTTTATAATAGATGTTAATATATGAATGAAGGGGGGGAGATGGGTGTTATAGTATTAGGTTTAGGTTCAGGTTCATATACCTTGATGGGATTCTCTTCTCCAAAGTGGTCCACCCAATACATGTAGATAAGCCGGGGCTCCTTCTGTCTCATCTGTTTTGTCACTGGGATGTAGGTCCGCTCATGCCTGGCAAAGAATACACCCCATTCCTTATCATTCAACTTCAACTTCTTGGGTTTAAGTTTTACTTACAACGGTTGTTTGGAAAAAGTCGAGACAAGCGTCAAAGATGTGGACAAGCGTCGGAAAAGCGTCGGAAAAGCGGACAAGCGTCGGAAAAGCGTCGGAAAAAGCGGACAAGCGTCAGGACAAGCGTCAAAAAAAGCGGACAAGCGTCAAAAAAGCGGACAAGCGTCAAAAAATTCGGCACGGAACATGTAAAAAACGTGTAGAAAATCCAGTATGTACACACGTAACGTAAAGACCGACAAAATGCGTTATATATTATCTATACACGTATAAAAAACAAAGTACAGACGTACCGATTACTTAGGAGATTGCAAAATGGTACAATTTGTCTCAGTAATACAAGCTGCGGCTATGTCTTGGATATGGTCGTCATCCAACTCCATTGCAATGATGAATGTTGTGTTTTACGGGATGGCAGCTTTGGCGGAAACTCGTCAATTTTTGGTCCACTTAGTCGTATCTAACGTAGAAATTACGTAGGATGTACTGGAAAACGTGATGACCGACGCCATGGAAACACGTGATGAACAAAATCAAATATATTGTAGAAACTACGTAGAATGTACCAGAAAACGTAATGTCGAATGGTGCGGAAACACGTAAAAACGGACGAAAACACGAAGACAAACAAGTAGACAAACAAGACATGACATGAGTTTTTGGACCATCTTCAGAGGTGGATATCTTGGCAACAATAAGCCCAAATTGGACGGTAATTTCGCCATCAGAAAGCGCACAGGCTCTTTTATTTTATCGTAGTTTTTCAATTTCGTAACTTAATCTAGTAAGAAGTTTGAATATAATAAATGAAAATGAACCAAATATCCAATAGTTCAAAATGCTATCGGCCATATCTTTGTAAATATTCAACCTTTTCAGTAATTCTAATTTTATAATAGATGTTAATATATGAATGAAGGGGGGGAGATGGGTGTTATAGTATTAGGTTTAGGTTCAGGTTCATATACCTTGATGGGATTCTCTTCTCCAAAGTGGTCCACCCAATACATGTAGATAAGCCGGGGCTCCTTCTGTCTCATCTGTTTTGTCACTGGGATGTAGGTCCGCTCATGCCTGGCAAAGAATACACCCCATTCCTTATCATTCAACTTCAACTTCTTGGGTTTCGATGTCTTTTTCCTCTTTGGCATTTTGAAATTTATTTGTGTTAGATTCAAACATTCAAAATGCCAAGAGACGAATTCAAAAAGTTTTACTTACAACGGTCGTTTGGAAAAAGTCGAGACAAGCGTCAAAGATGTGGACAAGCGTCGGAAAAGCGTCAGAAAAACCGGACAAGCGTTGGAAAAGCGTCGGAAAAAGCGGACAAGCGTTGGGACAAGCGTCAAAAAAAGCGGACAAGCGTCAGGACATGCGTCAAAAAAGCGGACAAGCGTCAAAAAATTTGGCACGGAACATGTAAAAAACGTGTAGAAAATCCAGTATGTACACACGTAACATAAAGACCGACAAAATGCGTTATATATTATCTATACACGTATAAAAAACAAAGTACAGACGTACCGATTACTTAGGGCCACGCTCAAGTTGACCCTGTTCGCAAAAATAAGTGACGTGTAGCACCTCAGCACCTGTATGTTTTGGATGCGTGGAGGAGATTTCTTGACAATCAGCCTCTTCAATAATTTCAACCAGCCGCCCACAGTGGTGAGGTCAAAGGTCTGACACATAGCCATGAATAATAACTCAAAGGATAGATCGCCAGCACATTCAACCTCTTCCTGTTCACTCCACTTTGGGAACAAGATGTCGATAGCTGATTCAATGTCCTTTTCCTTAGGAGTGACAGCCATATACTGGTTGTTCCAAAGCTCCTCATGACAGCCTTGTTTGCTTTCAGGAAAGTTCATAGGCACAATTGGAGAATCATTTTGTGATGCCATGCCCTTTTCAGCAACATAGACCACAGCGGTGATAGGAGCCTGCTCGTATTTTGCCGAGCTCCTAGCAAGCGACGACTCCAAATCTTTGGATGTATGGACTCTCTTTGCACAGATATTAGGCTGACAGCATGTAATGCTTATCTCACTGTCATCAGGTTCCTTTTCATTCTCAGCCAAGATGCCAGGCCAAATAAAGAGTGACAGGTTCAGCAACTGGTTCCTTCCAAGATGAGTGATCTGAGACTTATCAAAATCGAAGTTGTTGCTTTCTTTATCTTCCTTGTTCCATTCACTAGCAATACTGGATCCATCACCAGTTATAGCAGACAATGAATCAATATATTTTACTGCAAATTTCTCACTTCTGCTTTGGGGTTCTTTGTCTTCAGAATCTGATTCTGACATGCCGCTTCAAATGTGCTTTTAACACTTGTCTTTTTTTTATGGATCATTTGATTTTGATAGATCATTCATTATTTCATTACAATAAAGACAGATCATTCATTATTTCATTACTTGTCATTGGCCGTGGGCACATCATGATGTAGGTGATACTTGCTGGATCTCATTCTATTTGATGATTCAAAAGTTAGAGCTCTTGCTTTTTCCAATGGCGATGGATGGTAACATGGATGGAATATACCAAAGCAAAATATTATGATGATAAAACGCAGAGATTCTGATGTAAGTGCATATTGAATATCTGTGCAAAGAAAGAATGGCCAACCAGTCGCGGAAAACGAGTGGCCTATGCCCCCCAAATTCTGCGACATCTCAGATGTGGCGAATCAGTACTTGCTGGATCTCATTCTATTTGATGATTCAAAAGTTAGAGCTCTTGCTTTTTCCAATGGCGATGGATGGTAACGATGGATGAAATATACCAAAGCAAAATATTATGATGATAAAACGCAGAGATTCTGATGTAAGTGCATATTGAATACCTGTGCAAGGAAAGAATGGCCAACCAGTCGCGGAAAACAAGTGGCCTATGCCCCCCAAATTCTGCGACATCTCAGATGTCATATCTACTTTATATTATAATGTCATTTATTGCAAAACATTATTGCAGGGGGGGAGTGTGAAGTATAGTTCTGAAAAAACAAGGAATGAAAGCATGAAACATTTTGCAGAGAAAAAGTAGCAGATATAAACATGGAAATGCCTGGAATAAAATGTTGGGTATTAATTCAATTTACGGGTGCCAATGAAAATGTCAATTTTACGAACAATTATTGACAAAAGTTATTTCAAAAGGGGAGTGC